GATGGCAAACACCGGGGGGGGCGGCTTGTTTTACAACGTCGTTGCCAAGCGACGAAAACCCAACCCCGATGGCAAACACCGAGGGGGGAGGGGGTGTTCGGCATCTTGTGCTTAATTCTTTGCGTACGGATGACAGCTGCGTATGACTTAATTTATTTTCCGATGCTTTCACGTCCAGCGACTGTTGTAAGCACTGTGTAGAATAACTGCCTCGAGGATGCTTGACCATTTAAACACAACGTGGTGCGATCATCCCCCTTGCGCGGATTGAGGGTTCTCCACCCCGCCCAACATAATCAACTCGACCATCATAACGGCTGCCGCCCAAAAAACAAAAACAGAGGGGAAAAAAAGCGGCGACCCCGAGCTTACGAAGTGATCGGCTTGTTTCACAACATCGCCGCCGTGCGACGAAAACCCAACCCCGATCGCAAACGNGGGGGGGGGGGGGGGGGGGGGGGGGGGGGGGGGGGGGGGGGGGGGGGGTATAAGAGGCTTCCGCTGGTATTTCGAATGTTCCAAAAGCGGGAAGCACGTCGCCACGCAATCAAGTCCAATATCGAGTCGTTGAAAAGCCTGACCATATCCCTTCGCACCCACAGACTGCCCGCATCGGAATCGGATTGACGGCGCTTTCTTCGAAGGATTTCGAGATTTCGAAATAACATCTTCTTCAACGCAGCAGAAGAGGTTTTGTCCGCGTTCTTTCCACCGCCGGGAAGTGCATTCAATGCTTGACCGTCAAGTTCCCATGTTCGAAAAAAATACGTTTGACCACGAAGCTGCTAACCGGCAAGTTTTAAACTGCGAAGTTCTGGTAGCTGCCAAGCTCTCTTATGCTAAGTTGTTAACTGCCACGCTCTAGACTGCCAAGTTCTAGACTGCCAAACCCTTGACTGCCGTCAATTTCTTAGCTGTCAAGTTCGTAGCTGCAAAGCTCTTGACTGCAAAGTTCCCTTCTGCCAAGTTGTTGACTGCCAAATTGTTTACTGTCAATTTCTTGATTGCCAAGCTCTTGACTGCCAAGTTTTTAACTTAACTGCCAAGCTCTGGAACGTCAAGTTGATAACTGCCACAGTCGTTGAATAAAATGCCCAGCTCTTGGCTGCCACGCAATTGACTGCCCAGCTCTTGACTGCCCAGCTCTTGACTGCCGAGTTCTTAGCTGCCAAGGTCTTGACTGCCAAGTTGTTTAACTGCCAAGTTCTTCATTGCCAAGCTCTGGAATGCCAAGTTGTTGATTGGCAAGCTCTTGACTTAACTGCCAAGTTACTGACTTAACCGCCAAGCTCTGGAACGTCAAGTTGATAACTGCCACAGTCGTTGAATAAAATGCCCAGCTCTTGGCTGCCACGCAATTGACTGCCCAGCTCTTGACTGCCCAGCTCTTGACTGCCGAGTTCTTAGCTGCCAAGGTCTTGACTGCCAAGTTGTTTAACTGCCAAGTTCTTCATTGCCAAGCTCTGGAATGTCAAGTTGTTGATTGGCAAGCTCTTGACTTAACTGCCAAGTTATTGACTTAACCGCCAAGTTCTTGAGGGCGGGCGATTTAACTTCAGCTGTGCAGCACGTGCAACTAGCTAGAAACACCCTTTCTTCCCTTGGGTATATACCCAGGGTTGGCACTATCAGACGCATACTATCTGTAGTCGTGCATACTCCGTGCCATGATGCATACTTGTACACTGTAAGTCTGCAAGCTGGGACGGGAGGGCGCTTCTTCGTGAATATCAGTTTTTGATTCCCCGATCGTCGACACCCGCATGCCTCGTCTGGCACCAGGTGCGACCAACCAACCGTTGATGAAGAATTTCGAAGCCTTTGTGGTCCTCTTGTCAAAGTAGAATGGAATGTGCGTAACACACCCATACTGTTGTGGCCTTCACATGAAAAACCGTTCCGATCTCTCTCCACCCAATACCTTTGCATGTCCGTACTGTACGAGGCATGCATCCACACGCCCAGCCCCTGCTTGCATGGTCGTTGCCGCACACGGATCACATTTCGCTCGCAGGCGCGACAGAATACAAAGTTACCCTCGGGCGGAACTGGAAAGAAAAGAGGGACGAGCTAGATGGACTGTTTATGTCGAGCCAGAGAAAGAGAGGAAGGAAGGTACTGACTTATGAAACCACGGTGCTCTGGTATTTTGCATCAGCCACGGCAGTACGGACTGTAGCACAGGCTGAGGCGTGAAGCACGTACGTTGTTGTACTTGTAGTGTGCGTTTATCTAGCAAACAAAAAACAACAAACGGCGGACCACAAGAGCGGGCGAGAGGAAGCGAAACTGATCCGGATGGGCGTGTGCGTGCGTATTCCGTCTGTATGCATGTACCGTACGCATGAGGACATACATTCAGGGCACTCTAGAAATCAATCATAAAAGCGTTCACTACTGCATCGCATCACAAGCCCCAAACACGCCCCCCCGCATGCCTGATGGCCCACGCGTAGGTGTGATGCTGACAACAAATGACAGCCACCTTGAGTACACAGGGCTATTGGAGGACTTCAACAAAAGTGACCAACTACTGTTGAGCGATAACGGCGGCGTTCTGTTTGCATTGCCGCCCCCCCGCACAAAGGAGAAGCCAGTCACTCATAGGACCGCTGTGTACTTCTGAGTACAGGTCGGGTTGCTGAATGGTGCGATCGTTGGGGATCAGCTACACACAGCAGCAGCAGCAGCAGCCACCGAGTATGCAGGCAATGCAACCACGCGTGTGCTGCGAGCACTCGTGTGGCGGGACACAAGAGCACAGCAGGCCGTGGGCAGGTTTTGTTGCCTGCTACATCTATAAATAGGGTATGTCCGCTGGCGCCGCCTGCTGCGATGGAGTATTTTATTGGCGTACCGCGAAGCACTGGTTGATGAGGCTGCTGCTACTGCAGGCAAGTCGTTGGTGTTGTTCCGGTTTGCAACAAAAGCAACAACTGACGAAACTGCTGCAGCGACACATCCTGCTGTTTGGTCGCGAGCGGACCATACACACATACGCCAGCAGCAGGAGCTATCGACAATAGCCTTCTGGGACTGGCCAGCACGGCCAATGCCTACCCTGTAGAGGCACGGCTTGCCTAGGATTTCTTATCAACTGTCTACAATCTGACAAAAGACTCGCCGCAAAAAGCAGGCGTCATACCACGCCTTTTCCTCCCACAGCAAGCACATATCTGTTGGGGTGAAAAGCAACTCTAACTGCCCCAAAGACAACGGCGGGCCTTCCGGAGCCAAGCAACGGCTCACCTTCTTGATGGGAGAGGGGGACAGCCCTTCAAGCAGAAACTGTAGAGCATCGCTATCGCCCGCCGTAATTGTTGTTGCAGGTGCTCCTCCTGCATCTGCCGCTGCTGCTGCCGCTGCTCCTAGCGACCGCGCCCGCTTCGGGGATACACCCCCACCCGCATCCTTCCCAGCCAGGAGATCACCGTCTGCCATGGAAGGGGTCTCGACCACACCTCTATCGCTTTTACTGGTCACTCTCTCTCTCCCGCCTTTGCCCGTCATTCCGAGCCCAGTTCTTAGTCCGGATGATGATATGATGTTGGCTGATGGATGGGGCTTCTTCGCCTTTTCGCCGTTTGATAATTAAAGGAGCTCCGTGGTTGCAAAACAAACACCCCACAGTCGGTGGTTGTATCCTCCCAGCAGCGGGGTTTGGACGTCCAACCACTGGGACGCCTGGACCTTGACATTTATTGCTCACAGCTAGGAGTGGGCACAACACGCCGTCCTCAACCAATCTCTGCTCTGTGTGTGAGTGTGCAGCCGTGGGAAGCTGCTTGAGAGCGAGAGGTGAGCAAACATGAAGTACATTCAAGTGGGCTACATCGTTGCTCTGCGTAATCTGACATAACGATCGTTTGGGGTGAATGCAAGAACCCAAAACCCGTCCGAAAAGCGGGCCATTGTCCGCATGTCGGCTGCTGCTGTGCAGTGGTAGTCCCGCTACACCGTGGTCCCGAGTACAGTCGCGGTCTCTGTGTAGCGGCCCATAGTGTCACAACATGCTACATGCTTTTTCCGCTATTGAGGACATTGGCGCTAAGCCAGATTGGCAGAGGTGGATCCGTACCACCAGGTGTTGGAACCGCTGTTCAGGGCATCCATCCCTCAAACAGAGGGAAGAACCGCCAAAACGGGAGCACGACTCTGTAGTGCGGGTCCCGATACACCGCGGTGGCGAAATCGCTTTTCACAGGATTTGTTGTTGTTGTTGTTGTTGTTGTTGTTGTTGTTGCTTCCCTCGCGCGCTGGCGCTTCGCGAACGCTTCCGCCTCCTGCCTGTGCCATTTCCTCATGAGCCATGCCGCCCCGTCCTCGACCTTGTTGTATCACACCTCAGGGTCCTTGGCGCTCTCTTGCCATTTACCCCCTTCCTTTTCGTCTCCCATGGTGAAGGCTACGAGGTCCTCTCCTAGACGAGACACCCAGTCGCTCTCCTTCCACCCCGGTATCCCACGCCCCCCGCCATCGCTCCTAAAAGCATGCGCTTGGGGAGGCGGTTGTCCTCCATGCGCATAACACAGCCTACGAAACACAGTCTCCGTTTGCGCACGGTGGTCTCGATGGTTTCCTCGCAGCCTGCCTGGATGATGGCCTGGGCATAGGACAGGGGGCGGTCTGAGCGTTTCCGCTTGCTCCAGCCGATGCACCGTGTAAGGAACTGGCGGTGGGTCCCATTGAGCTTCGTGTAGTGCTCCGCTGTTAGGCTCCACGAGGCGCACCCATACAGGAGAGTCTCCACCACTTCAGCCTGGAGTAGCCGGATCTTGAGCTGGCGGTTGGCCCGTCGCCTGTCGTACATCGAAGCACTGTTCCGGCGGTAGCACTTCCACGCTCGGCAGCTGCGGCTCGTGATCTCCCGGTCGGCCTTCCCGTCCGCGGAGATGGTACGTCCGAGGTACACAAACCGATCTGTCTGCTTGTACGTCTGGCCAGCGGCGCTGACCGCGAACGGGCGTTCCCCCATCCCTTTCGGCAGCATGCACATGATCTCCGTCTTTGGCTCTGATACCATCCGTCCGAACAGGCCGGCCACGCGCACGATGACCGACATCATCTTCTCGAGACTCTCCGGCGAACGCGAGACGATGGCCGCGTCGTCAGCGTGGAGCATCGCCCAGAGGGCCTCCGCGTCCGTCACCACCGTCGTCTTCTTTCCCGCCGACCTGCCCTTCTTGCCCGTGTACTCCACTTGTGTCCCGATCTTGACCATGTCCGCCGTCACCTTGGGGTCCTTGTCGAACTCGGCCACGGCGACCATGAGCATCGCGGCAAAGAACAAGTTGAACAGCAGCGGGGCCAGGTTGCATCCCTGTCGGAGGCCTTGGCCCACGTCGAACCATTCCGAGTACTGCCCGTCGTCCGTTCGGACGCGCGCCCTCATGCCCTCGTGGAAGTGGCGAATGACCGCCAGCATCTTCGGGGGCACGCCGAAGCGTCGGAGCACGTCCCACAGTAGGTCTCGGTCCACCGAATCGTATGCCTTGGTGAGGTCGACGAATCACGCGAACACCGCAGTACTCTTCTTCCTCGCGAGCTCATGGAGCCGCTGGATGGCGAACAGCATGTCGAGCGTCGACCGGTGTGGGCTATGTGTACTACTGTAGACTACTGTTGTGCACAGCAGTAACCGCCGTAGACTACAGCGTTCGTCTTTGAGAGCACAGTCTACATGTTACAACTTCGCCCGCAGGACAACGATTGTTGAGCTCCCCCTCTCTCTTCCAGGATATTGGTCCTACGGCTCCCCTTATCTCGTGGTGTCCTTCTGTAGCGTATGCATGTGTGTGTTGTGTTTTCGTCCTATTTATTATGGCGACAGTTCCCCCATTTTTCGTGGTGAGACGTGTACTACACTTTTCAGCGTATGTAGAGTACTACACTTTTCAGTGTATTTTTTCGGACAACTACAACCATCCAGGGTCGCACAGGAGGGGGTAATTCAGGGCTTTTTTCTTTTCATGCCCCACCTTCCTCCTGCGGTGCGTGCTGAATTGTATTTTTATCGCGAGAATGGTCCAGCCGTCCCTTTCCCTCGTCAACGGTGCTAACGTCGAAGTTTGGTACTCCAGTGATGTTGGCTGAGATTCCGCCGCATTTTTTTAGGGTAGGGGACAGGACAATCCAAAAATGAGAAAGCCTCAAGAACCTCCATGAAACCACAGAGAAAATCAACCGGGGTGAGACACCATCCACGCGGAGGTCAACAGCTCGGTGCGCTGAGTTTAAGCAGAGGTGGTGGACTTCGCATCTGCTGCTGATAGGTGAGTAGGAGAGTTGTGGCCTGGGTTTATGGCGATATTGGGCTCTGGCAACTAAGTCTCGGCGGTGCAAAAAGTGCCTGCAGCATGCACTGAAATTGGGCCTATATTGCCTAGATCCGCCGCACTGGCCCATGACTCGGCTGACTGCTGGCTGCTGGTGTAACTTATCTCCCCTCCCCCCCCCTCGCTCTCTTCGCCATATGCGTACACACGACTATCCCTCGCACTGCACCCGTGCAGATATGCTTTGCCTCAGCTTTGTAAAAGCTTGGCCACGTGCTGAGAAAACCAGACCCCCTCCCAGCGACTTGCTGCTCCAACTTGTACCGTAGGTTGCATGCATTTACACGCCCTGGTCCGATCTTCAAAGCTCGATTGCAAAGACAGGAAAAGCAGCGACGGTGCCGAAAACGTCGGCGTTGGAACTGTCTCGTCAACCGCTTTCCGACAACATATCCATTTCAGCATTCTCTTAGTCGAGGAGTAGTGAAGCTTTGAAAAACGTCTTACGGGTGTGGTATCTTACGCAACCTACGGTGTCTTGAGAGAGAGAGAGAGAGGGCCGTGGGAGGGCGACACCTTCCTCAACAGCAGTCCTTCAGACTGGAGACACTGCGGAAAGATGTTTCGGGGACTCGGGATGCTACGCATTGTACTGTGTAGTCAAATTGGGCGCCATGGGTTGGTCGATTGAAACAAATATCATTGCCAGCTCTATTGACGGGAAAAGTATGTGTCCTTCACTGCTCCTGTATACCTACTCATGATCTGCTGCCTGGTTATACCACCGACTTCATTTTACCAGGCGCGAGGTGGATGATAGGGCAGGTCTGGATCTTGGAGAGCGCGGGGCGGGCGGCCCAAGGAGCGAAATGAACAGGAATGCGCCGCCGGAGGGAGGTAAGCGTACGGAGTGTTGCTTGTGTGTGTGTGTGCCTGTTGCGTGTGTGCCTGCTTCGTGTGTACATGTTTTGTCAGATGTGTAGCACGGCCACACATGTAGTTCCAATGCAAAGCTACACACACGACTTCAGGCGGTGCTGGTCGCTTTTGGGAAGATACAGCAGTAGCTGTCCCTACAACGAGCGACAGCTGATATTTGCAACTGTCGTTAGACCTGTTCGTCCACGGGAAGAAGTGCGTGTGATTGCGAGAGGCACCGCAGGTGGAAGAGAGCCGATATTTTTTTGGAAGTGACCCTGTCGTGTGGCCTCTGGCTTGTTGTGTCTCCCGCCGGCGCCTCGCAGCTTTTTTTTACGGTTAGCCGCCAGCTGCTGTGGCGTCTGGTGCTCGCGCCTCGCATCGTCTCTGCGGAGTTAGCCGCCCGCTGCTGTGGTGTCGGCGCCTGCCCTCGCTGTGTCGCCTAGCGGCGGCTCTCGGCCGGTCCGCCCGCAACCATTCTGCCCGTGCTCCATCGGTCTCCCTCGCACGCCTGGCGGCAGCCCCCTGACGAGCAGCAGCTCTCGCCTTGTGAAGCTGTGGGCTGACGAGGGACTCCCTCTCCCCCGGCCTTGTCTGCGTCGAGAGTCTGTGTGCTCCTCTGCCTCACGGACGGAGTCCGGGTGGATCGACCGCAACGGACGTCTATTCAGTCAATTGCTTGTGCGACCTGCCCTCCGTGGTAGACTGTCTGGCCACCTGCATCGCACACTCTTTTGAGTTGCCAGGTCGAACAAGAAGCAGAGAGGCACAGCAAAGAGAGCGAGACTTTTATTTTTCTCCTCGCTGCCGATGATGATGAATACCGCCCCCCCCCTCGAACCGGCGGTAAATACCAACACTACTTGAAGCAGTCAAATCGTTGGTTTACGCATATATGCACCCCGCTAAAGGTTTGGAAGCACTGTATTAAAAGGAAGGACCCACTAATATGCTGGCAATGTTTGCTGCTCTCGCTTGCTTTCTCTCTCTCTGCTCTGCTCTGTTCTTCGTCCGGTGCCGTACGACTAGGGGAAGAGGCTCATGGCCGGAAGCTTAGGGGGAGACGGTCAACCGGGGGACGAAGTTCGCAAGATGGCGATGCCCACATGGCCACCCGTCGGGGAGCAGGGCGCAGCGCTAGCCTGCCGCCAGAAATTGGACGTCATAGAAGAAGGAAGAGGTGTCCATACGGGCACAGAGATCACGGCAAGTTGGTCGGCGGTGTCAGGGTATGCGCCGCTTGTCACGCACATCCAACGGAAGGCCTTCACAACGACCACGCGTGGAGGCATCTGCCGAATGCAGAGGTCGAAATAGCGGGGATATGGTGGCAGTCTGCCGCCAAGCGGTCCGATAACTGTGTCAGGGACGGCTATGTTCCGAGCATGGAGTGTCTATGTAGGAGGCCTGGGTGCTTTTACCCACAGTGGACGGCTGAGAAGGAAAACAAGTCCGCCCCGTCGCGGGGCCCGTGTGCGATCTGCAAAGCCGACAAGAGCACGCAGTCCTGGCGTCGCCCTGGCCTTTTTCTCCCCGCTTTCGCTCGGTGGTTCAAGTCTGGGAAGGCCAGTACGCAGAGATTTCTCAGTCTGCACTCCACTGTGCAATTGTCGACCAGAAAGGCCCAGTACCAACGTGCTTCCATGAAACTCGAGGTCTGTCGCTGCAACCTGGCCTATAGCAGGCGAAACACACAGGCGGGCCACCGCAAGTACTGACCCTACCGTGAGTGGTTCGTCCGCATATGGCAAGCGGCATAATTGCCGAAAGAGCGGGAAAACACGTGCCAACAGCCGATTTTGCACTTCAGATTTCTCTGCGGATGTACACTAAGCGGTTCCAAATCTTCAAGCTCCGGAGAGACAAAGGCCCATACTCCCGTTTACCCTCCTTGGTAGTGCCCGCGTGGTGGTTGGCAGCTAACGCTGTGCACTCAGATCCAGGCAGGTCAGACTTCAACGATATTCAGCTCATATCAGTTCAGCAGCCATGCACACCCAAATACAAACGAACACCGCCCAAACCGCCACCCAGCCGTACAGGAGATGGTGCACAGCAGTGATCGGAGTGTCGAAGGTGGTGGGGAAGGCTGAACAGCGTGCTATGGGCGTTGCTGGCAACAACGGTCGACGGGGGGAATATTCAGGAACATACCCCGGAACCAAGGAACGCCTCATTCTCTCTTGCCTATCTCATTTGAGGCCGATTTGAGGGATTGGTCAGCATATACATCTCATCGTCCACTGTTTTCGCGGCCAATCGGTCCAAGCAACACCCAGGCGGTTCAAGCACGTACAGCGGTGTCCTGTACACTCCGCACCACGAAAAAAACACGCTCCTAAAAAAGTGCGGCGGAATCTCAGCCAACATCACTGACTCACGAGAGCTTTTTTAGCTATGTTTCGCTTTCACCCGCAAATTTCGTAGATTTTTCAACCCGTGGTGATTCGAACTCACGACCTCTGCGATTAGCGGATTTCGAGAATACCACTAGACCACCGGGGCGACCGGTGTTGCATACCAGATACTGGAAACTTGAAAAAATGCACCCGACAAAATGCTCATTTGGACCGTGCTTGCGTTTATCCAGTAGCAGCGCAGTCGGAGCTCTGTTACGCCGCCCGTTGTACAAGTTTTACCTCAAGCATACCCATTTTGTCTACTATTATGATCACTTTACACCATCCATGATTCTCCATAGGTGTACGAATCCAAAGATAAATCAGAAACGTACATTGATGCATGGTACACACAGTAGCGTCACATGACCTAAAATAGTCTCGGAGCAACGTATGCCTACCCGTGATGTGGAGTTCTAGTCTCTGTTTACCTCGCATTGTAGCGTGTAGAGGCGAGAGGAGGGTCCTTGACTATCTTTCGCTGGTTTCTATTGACTTGCGGACCCTCTGGGATCCATTTGTTATAGTACCAGTATACCTTTCTAAAGTACGTGACTCGTACGGACAGATGGAGGTGTGAGCGTCACGTCACATGACCTGCTATAGGAGGTCCACCAACTGTCTAGTGATGTTCAAAACATACATCCAAGGAATGGTGTCATGCCGCCAGATGGAACGGACAACGTCCAGAAGGTGACACATGATGATATCACACCCGCAGTACCGGATTTTCGAAGCTCAATTTTTCCACGGCAGAAAGAGCGGCGGTGCCGAAAACGGTGGTGCTGGAGCCGTCTCTTGGAGAGGTTTCCGAAAAGATATCTTCTCATTGATGAGTCATCTCGGTCGTGGGATACCGTGAGGTTTGAGAGATGGCAACCCCGTGTTGCAACAGCGTTCTGTTATAGCGTATTTCTCCACAACTATATGTAGGAGGGTGCGAACACCAACCGATACCTTTCAGGAAAGCCCTCCACCAGATGTTTCCAAAACTGTACCCTTTTCGGGACTGGCACTGTACCCCCATGGTTGTGGTGAAATACCCTATAAATATACGCGAACACGGGGCGGCGTGCCATCTTTCCGACATTGACGGTAATCGAGCCTTTCCAAGTCGGTCGTGTGTGTGTGTGTGTGTCGTATCTCACACCATGTCACCTACGGTAAGTCGCAAAACGCGGCCTCGAACAACCCGAAAATTAATACGTAGTTGTTCTTCAACATACATTGTCCTACATCTTGTTATTTTACTATTATACGAAGTATTGATAGAGTGTGCTGTTGTATGCTGTTTTGGGTTGTGAGCGTGGTCATCATCCGCGTCAGCTCAATGGTTCGTGCAGCTTGGCTCTCCGCAGCGCCTTTTGCGATCGGCTTTTTTGCCTTCTAACGAACACTTTATCACAGAAACACGTCATAATTGATTCAACGAGTTCAACGCGTGAACATCTCCGACGTGGAGTTACCACGGAAGTAAAGTTGTTTGGCACGAGACCGTTCTCTTCCTCAAAAACGCGTTGTATTGTTTCAACATCATTTGATCGCGCGAACATCTCTGGAGTCACCCTCGGAGCTAGAGTTTGCCAGAGACCATTTCTTCTCTTCATCATTAACTCGTCTGAATCCATTGGACGAGTTGATCGCGCGATGACCTATGGGTACACCCCCCGAGCCAGTGGGAACAGTGTTGGCTTCGTTTGGTGCGACAACGGCCCTCGACCCTCATATCCGAAGTATATCGAGGCCCCCTCCCATGTACCGGTATAAGAGGGTACTCAACTATACTACACTAAGTCTAAACGGTCGAGTCCTTGACAACCGAATTCGACCCTCTTGCAATTGAGCCCCCTCTTTCAAGGTACCCCCTTTAGGTATCGGAGCCACGACGGTACCTATTTTTTTTATAGTTGCGGGGTCGTGCATCACCCTCAAGCGTGTTGTACGTTGTACACCGCAGGTTTTTCAAAACCGCCCCCCAAAACTTGAGATTCGTTATGCTCTGTAGGGTGCGACGTTGAGAGGCCAGGACATGGCGCCTTGGGAAGCGGTCGTGCCGTGTAGCGCTAGGGTGACTCTGGCCGCCAGAATTGAGTACACGGCACGGTTAACTGAGCCACAGAACGCGCCCCCGCAACCGAACTTACTGTATTCACCTGCAATGCAAGGAAGACTCCATGACATACGAATGCCCTCGTAACCGCTGCCCTTTCATATCCAGAAATTATGCATGCATTCAATAACAGACTGCTAGTGCTATATCATTCCACACTCGAACGGGCATGTGTTGAAGTCTTAGTCTTTGAAGTGAGGGGGGGAAAAGCCAGCTGGATACCGGGCTCACGTTGAGTCTGTTGAAGCCTACACACCGAATGTGTTGTCAGCGATGCCAACTGGTGCTATTTCAAGAAGAGATCTGCATGATTTTGTTTCGTTAACTATATACTGGACTCGTTTCGTGTCCATTCAAGCATACACACTGGATTTTTCGTCGGTGGTGCCAGCTGGTGTTGTCATGTCTGGTTTTATGAAATCATGCGTAAGCGGCCTGTTCACGTGCCGGTAGGTGCCCAGAAAACTCACCTGCACTACACCGGACACCGGCAGGTGAGTTTGAATGAAAGTTATAATTACGTGGCAGTTCAGTGTCTGCCCGCCGTAACCTTTGAGACAATTACGGCAACTTCCACTGAACAGGAGTTTCTTCTGCTGCTGTACTTTATTGTTTCGAATACGAAGCACTGTAACTGGGGTCATTTCGAGTTGTATTTTAGCCTGTACACCATTATTTTTATCGGTGCTGCCAGCTGACGCAATTAAAAATATATCTATGTGCAGAGTAGTGCCCGGAAATTTGAGACTATACCGGACATCGGAACTACCCAAAGTATATTTCGACATGGTAAATCCAGTGTGTGCCTGCACAATCACCGGCACTATTCTGTTGACCGGCACTTTTCAACTGGCGCTACTCTTGGACCTCTCCTGCTGTATTCTTTCTGTTTCGGGGACTCGTGCACCCGTCGCCACAGGGAGTGGATGTCTGGGGCTAAAAGGCCAAAGGGCGGTGAAAGTTACAGTTCCGACACTGGTGGAGAGCGTGCAGGTGCAGAACTCGGGGTTTTGGTTGGCTAGACCACCACGGGGTAGATTTAGGGTTAGGGTTAGGTTTGGCCCTGAATCGCTGAGTCGAAGAAGTAACGTATCTGTCCTGTTTCGCGCCCGCAGGGTATGACCCTATCCCTGAATGGAAGAAGTGGCGTATCTGTCCTGCTTAGAGCTCGCAGGGTGGATATCAAGGGTCATGGCATACCCTAACCCTGACTGGAAGAAGTAACGTGTCTGTCCTGCTTCGCACCCCCCGGGTGGATGTTAAAGGTCATGGCGTAAAGGTTGTAACCGGAACCCTGAATAGAAGGCCGGCGCGTGTGTGTGTTCTACTTAGCGCTACTAGCGTGTACTGTTGGAGTCATGGAAAGCTCAACGTGTCTGTCTCACTTGACACTCACAGGGTAGAAAAAAATGAGTCGTGCAATATTTCTAGGCTCGACGTGTCTGTCCCACAAAAGCGCGAAGTTAGGTTTCAAGCGGGGGGCGTGGTGTTGCGCCCACATGCAAAGAGCCGCAAGCATTCTGGTATTGTCTATAGATTTGATTCAGTGTCGTCGAAGCCTCAACGTGTTCATCCTACGTAGCGCAACCGTGGGAAGCGGGCAATACCGTATACGGCACAAGGTAACACACACCCTGGACCGGTTTTCAAAGCTCGATTACTCCACGACGAAGAGGATGCCGAAATCGAGGCACAACTATACCTTTTTGGAGAGCTCTCGACTAGACGTCTTCAAAACCGCCGTTTTCGGCGCTGCGACTCTTTCTGCTGTGGATGAATCGAGCGGTGAATGTCGGTCCAGAGGGTGTGTTACCTTGTGCCTTTCACGGTACTCTGCGAGATTTCGTGTTTCAAACCATGACGTGGCATTTTGCCCGCATGGGAGAAGCCGGGATCATTCAGGAACATCTACGAGCATTCTGATATTGCCACGGAGCGCCGAAAAAAATAGGCACGCCAAATCTGGTTGCAGGGGGAATCCACCGAACCGGAAAGAACAAGCAGGGTGCCCCGAACGTATTCAAGATAGCCGGGGCGTACCGTTTCATTTATACGGGACCCCCAAAAACAATTCCACGACTTCTACCCCCTGTAGTTGTACGAAAAAATACACTGGAAATGGTAGTCTAGTGCACTACATACGCTGAAAAGTGTAGTACAAGTCTCACCCCAACAATGGGGGGACTGTCGCCATAATGAATTGGACGAAAACACACACAGACACACACCCGTTTTTTTTCGTCTGCTCCACCATCCAGGTGTTGATCGAAGCCGTTGGCTCGATGCCTTGATGGTGGCCTTCGACCAAGCTTACGGCGGAAGAAGGCAGTGGTACACGTCGACCACGGAGCGTCAGCTGGCGTCTCTAGGCGAGTGTCGGGCGTGCCGCAAGGTGCCCACCCTGCACTTACGGATCATCGACGGGATTCCAGACAGGCTGCTCTCGCACGGCGTTACCTCTTCCGGCGTTCCACAGTTCTCGGGCGACAGTACCACCTCAAGCGTTCCACGGATCTCGAGCGACGGTTCCTCTTCAAGCGTTCCAAGGCTCTCGAGTGGCGATACCTCTTGCGGCGTTCCACGGTTCTTGAGCGAAGGTACATCCTCAAGCGTTCCACTTCTCTCGACCGGCGGTACCTCTTCCGGCGGTCCACTGTTCTCGAGCGACGGTTCCTCCTCAAGCATTCCACGGTACTCGACCGGCGGTTCGTCCTCGCGCGTTCCACGGTTCCGGGCGTACGGTGTCATCTGGGACCATACCTTGATCCGGACGGTTACACGGAGCCCGATCGATGCGTTGAGCGAAGCCGAGGTTTGGCGCTTTGGGGATGCCTTCGACGATGCTGTTGACGCGGTGGCGTGGCCGAGTCGGCTGAAGAGGCTCACGTTTGGGCGGTCGTTCGACCGCGCTAGGGTTACCCGCGTCGTTGCACCGGGTGGAATTCGGGTGCAACTTCAACTAAGAAGTTAGTATGGTCAGGTGGCCTCCATTGCTGGAACAACTCATTTTCGGAGATTGCTTCAACCAGCCGGTTTCGGGATTCGCAGGGTCCGCTGGTTTTTTCCGCGTCGTTGCAGCGGCTGGAATTCGGGAGCGACTTCAACCAAGCAATCAGTATGGTCGAGTGGCCGCCTCCATTGCTGGAACAACTCATTCTCGGAGATAGCTTCAACCAGCCGATTTCGGGATTCGCCTGGCCCAAGTCAATTCAGCATCTTTCATTTGGCAAGCGTATCAACCAGGCCATCGAACACACCCCTTGGCCTCAGCATCTCCAGTACCTGAGCTTCGGGACGAAGTTCAACCAGCCGATTGAGAGGGTGACGTGGAATGAATCACTGCAGCATCTCACGTTCAGGTTTAAGTTTAAACAGCCCATCGAAGCAACGACATGGCCTCCGCATCTCAAGCATCTGAGGTTTGGGAACAAGTTCAAACAGCCGATTGAAAGAGTGGCGTGGGATGCATCACTACAGCATCTCACTTTCGGTTGTAGCCTCAACCAGCCCATTGAAGCAACATGGCCTACGCATGTACAGCATCTGAGGTTTGGGAACACGTTCAACCAGCCGATTGAAAGGGCGTGGAATGCGTCTCTACAGGATCTCACTTTCGGGTATGACTTCAACCAGCCCATCGAAGCAACGACATGGCCTGATTCCGTGCAGAATCTGAGATTCGGACAGGGATTCAACCAGCCGATCGAAGCGACGACGTGGCTTGATTCTCTCCAGCATCTCACTTTAGAGTGTTCCTACTTTTAGTGGCCCACCGAAGCAACGACATGGCCTCGTTCTCTACAGAATCTGAGGATCGGGACGCACGACAATCAGCACGTTGCTAGGTGGGTCAGACCGTCTCGGCAACAAGTTTTAGAATTAACAGTCTCTGGACCGGGGTTTAGATCCTGGTTACTGAGTCGTCGACCGGAAATTGGGCATCCTTGAAGCGTTCCTATTTCTCACACAACCGTACAGAGTTCATCAAGCGCCCGCACGCACTTAAGAACCTCTCGTTGTTGTGGAGGCTGGGGTTCTTCGTTACTCTCGTGGGCTACAGGTGGGCGGGAATATTGGTTTCAGTGTAGGGCTTCTGAATCGGGCCCACTGGGACTAAATCGTGCTCAACCCAGTTCTTGGATTTCTGTTTTTTCTAGGCTGAATTGCTTGATTACCACTCTCTCAGGTAATGGCGTCAAATATCTCATCCGAGAACCAACGCTGGTTGACTGCCGAAAGACATAATATTTTCGAAGCTGGGTGCTGCACGTTAATTGGTCCAGCAATAAACAATCTGGGTCCGCGGAGAAGGGGGGGGGGGCACGCGGGAAATAGTTCCATGTGTCCCCGGGGTTATTGTGCTCAAACAAGTTCGCAGATTGAGAGTTTTTTTACTTCAGGCTCAATTCCTTGACCACCAAGCTCTCAAGTGCGGGGGTGTCGTATCTTATCCGAGGATCAGAGCGGTTGGCTGCCTAAAGGATATTCGACAGCCGGCCGCGGTACATACCTAGATCCAAAATCGCATGTCTGGGTCGGCGAAGGGCGGGGGGGGGGCAGGCGGGGACATTATTCCATGTATCTCCGGGGTACCATTTGTGCTGAGGCGTTGGGGCGGCGGCGTCTGTCTGCCTCGCTCTGCATGTCTGTATTATTTGCATCGACCATGTTAACCGGCTGACCAATGAAAAGGCGTCAGTCTCAGTGCGGTTGAAAACGCAAAACACAACTGGGACACGGTCAGGGGGCGGCATGGGTGCGTGTGTGCTATCTTATGTAGTTGGCATCGACCGCGCGAAAACTAATCGGTTGGCCAATGAAATGGCGCCTCCTCAGTCTTAGAGCGGGCAAAAAGAATGTAAGGGTTCTACCTACCTGGGGGGCGCGGGAGTTTGACTGCCGTTGTATGGTGTGTCTATGACTGGCCGAGGCACCGGGTTTCTACGCGACCCGCACGTAAAACCCTCTACAGTACTGTGGTAGTTTTCTTCGAGACTGGGATTCTCTGTTCCCCGTGTAGGATACAAATGGGTGCTTTAGTATATAGGTTTTAGTGTTGGGTTTTAGCCGAGCTGCTCACAAGTATTGATGCTCCAGTTCTTAGAAATTGATTTTTTCGAGGCTCGATTTCGTGACTTGATGCTATGGTGCGGTCGCTATCTGTATCATCACTGGCACTGAGACCGCCGCGAGACTCGGCGACCGGCAGGTTCGTCGCAGGAGTTATCTTCGCGGCATACCCCCCTTACAAAAACTCTGTCCGGACAAGAAGAGTTTGGCCAATTTGCCCACCGCGAACCCCAGGCTCGTCTTCGGAGCAAGCTGATGTTGCGTACCAGCATACCCTACCCCCATGGACACTCTTGAGAAGCCTCTTGCCCGCCTTTCGATCGTCTGGCCGAGTGACCAACTTCACTGCAACAGCTCACGTTCGGTGATCACTGTTACCAATCGATAGACAAGGTCGTGTGGCCACTCTCGCCTCAGCAGCTCGTTTTTGGCCGGAACTTCAACCAGCCACTGCGCGGACGAGCTCGGAACGCGGACACCCCGTCCTACATAGCTGACGATGCTCGCACCAGCCGACGTCGCATGGCCGGCAGCACTCCGGAAGTTAACCTTGGATGAATATTGGTCGCTGTCTGGCGCCCGGAGACAAGGAAATGGTTCCAGTTGGAGTCGAGGCTCAAAATGCTTGCTTCCAGCCACCGTCGAGCAAAGGTACCTTGATGCGAGAGTGTATCGTGGGATCCACTGCTGAGTCCTTATATTTTCGTCCTACTTGATTGTTACTATTACCACATTTCACTCGTTTGTACTGCACGATTGATTGTTGTTGGGGCTTGTACGTGCGAGAGACGTTGACACCACGTCGATTTTTCATTGGCTTTGTTTCGCGAGAAATAGAGGAGAGGGATTTAGGAAGACAAGGCAGAGAGAGATTGGTTCTTGCGACCCGCACATGCAGTCGGAAAGAGCAACGACGATGCATCCAACATCGTTTCAACACAAGACGGGAAACTCGGAGCTAGTTGTTTCATCGTGCATCGGGCGTGAATAGCGCTGTTTTCCGGATTGATGGGCAAGCAACCTGTGCCAATCAGCTGGAACCACTCCCCCTGCGGACTTTCCAAGGAAAAACGGGAAAAGGAACCCAAGGCGAAGGCACTAGAGAAGCATGTAAACTGATCGCAGTAGCCTCCCCCGACATCGACTCCTCGCTCGTCGGCACACAACAGTCACAACTTGCGGTTCCCAATCGACGATGACCATTACACCGTTGAAGCGAGAGGAGGCGGCGTGCAGGCGTCACGAAATCATGTACGTGCTACGGTGCGAAAAACGTGCCGTCGAGCTCGCCCGCACACAAAGCTGACCACGGTTTGAGGTAAGCACCCCGATGCTGGGACACACCACACAACACGGACAGAGTGCACTCACCACCATCGGATGGCCAAGGCATAATCAACGTGGGCGACACGAGATAACGCACCCCCTTGGACCTATGTTCGAAGCTCGATGACTCCACACTGAAGACGATCAACACATGAAACGGTAGGTTTCGAGAAGCTCTCGATGAGACGGCTCCAACGCGGTTATTTTCGACACTACCACTCTTTCTCCCGCGAAGAAATCGAGTTTTGAAAGTCCAGGGGGTGTGATACCTCAAGCCAGTTACGGTGCGTGCGCCAGCGTACCAAAGTCTACCGCCGTACCGCCGGATGGCCATAGGTACGTGCGCGGAACAAAGCGTCACGGGTCATCGCACGATTCAACGGATGGCACCATCTCGTCATCCGGTACGCCACACGCCACCGCACACCGAAAGACACCAACAGAAACGAAACACTAAAAAAGTAGATGAACCCCACCATTGGCTACCCTGCCGTTGACCCATCCAAGGCCAAGCAACCTCTCATTCGGTGAGGCAGCTCATTTCGCCAACAGCCGGCGATCCCATATCGTGCAGCGATAAAGCTCGACAGCCAGCGAACCGATGTTTTGCTGTGAAACCACTCTACGGCAAGGGAATCGATATTTTACGGTGGAAGTACCCGATGACAATCGAACCGATATTCTGCGGAAAAACCACTCGACAGCAAGGGAATCTACATCATCGTGCGGTGAAACAGCCCGACCGTCAGCGAATCAACATCGCGTGGTGAATCAGATCGACAGCAAGTAAACCGATATTCTGCGGTGGAAACAGCTCGACAGCCAGGGAAACGATATAGTGCTGTAGACCCACTCCACAACAAGGGAGCCGAAATTCTGCAGTGAAACAGCTCGACAGCAGCTGGACCGATCTTCTGCGGTGGAAGCACTCGACAGCCAGCGAACCGATATTGTTGTGCACTGCAATAGCAAAACTATTGGCCATCGAAAGGAGCGGCACTACTTTTCAAGCCTATGTCGAGCAGCAACAATATTCGCCAAAAGAAGCAGTGGCACTATTGCTTAAGCCCTTATCGCTTGACCCACTGCGGCGCCTTCCTAGCCTTCTTGAGACCCGGCTTCTTGCGCTCTACCTTTCGGGAGTCTCGTTCCATCATGCCCTCTGAAAAAACATAACAAAATCACGCGGATGCGGGCAAAGGATAAAGCGTCGGATGGGCTCAAATTCAGGTGCGACAATTGCGGCCTGCAGGGGCCACCGAAAGACTGCATTTTCGAGAGTCCAGTGTCTGAAGTCAACAAAATACAAAGGAGGCAAGGGAAAGGAAGATAATGAGAACAAGCGACGGATCGCGCCGGGTAAGCTAAATTGAGTGCGACAAATGCGGTCTACAGGGGCCACCAAAAGACTGCATGCTCGAAAGTCCCGCCCATCGATGCCCTCTGGACCAACACCAATATCACGCACGAGGGGCTACAATATTTACAAGGATGAATTTGTTGAATTGTTGCACATCTTGTGGAGATGGATGTGTTGTGTCATAAGAAACAAAAAGCACAACAGGCAAGGGGAGCGAAGGGGGGGATATGAAAAAATCGACCGATCGAGAATGGTGACGGGACAATAGGTTGCAAAATGTATCACACCTCCTGGTCCAAATTCTACCGCTCGATTGCTCGGCAGAAAGAGCTGTGACGGTGCCGACAATGACGGCGTTGGAACCGTCTAACCCTAAGCTTTCCGAAAACGTAAGAAGTATTTTGAGATTGGTATCCCCTGATCGGCATTCCCTGCCTCCTGGAATAATCGCGCTTTGAAAGACGGTCCAGGGGATCGTACCATGGATAGATCTTAAAACAACCTACTGAAAGCAGTGGGGTGGATTGGTTTCAGGTCGTGACGAAGCTAGGAGCTGCAACTGCTCGACGTCCATGTACAAGAGTGACGAAAAGGTGGTATGACTTGTTGAATGCGCAACGGGGTAATGAACGAAAGATGCTACAATACCTGCCCGGAACACTGTGTGCTAAGTGTCTCATGTCCCATTTCGCCGCGTGAAAACGAAGCCCCCAAATTGCCCACAATGTTTTCAAGAATTGCCCAGCAAGACAACACCAGCCGCAGTAGAGTTCCATACAGAGCGCAAAACATGAGACACGGCGCGCAAAAGTTGTCCTTTCGAGGCCACGCGTACTCATCTTTGTACCACACGAGAAGGATACAGTATACACACGAGAAGGATATAGTATACGGTGGTTTCATAGCAAACCATGGTTTCAGAGTACCGTGGTTTCTTAATTTACCGTGGTTTCTTAATATACCGTGGTTTCATAGCATACCGCGGTTTCATGGTATACCGTGGTTTCACAGGAAACCGTGGTGTCATAGGATACCATACCCCCTGGACCAATTTTCACAGCTCGATTACTCCACGACAAAGAGGATGCATACATGAGACGATTTGCTTTCGGAAAGCTCTCAGCGAGACGGTTTCAACCCCGTTGTTTTCGGCGCTGCCACTCTTCTTTTCTGGTGTGGATAAATAGTAGTAGAGCTTCGAAAATCGGTCTGGGGCGTGTGGTATCTTGCGTCACCTGCGGTATTCCGAGACTGGACGGAAAAAGCCCGTAAGAGGAAGAGAGATAGCATCCATGCTAGACCGACTTTCAGAGCTCGATAGCTCCACGGCCAAGACCGTCCGTACCGTACCGCATACGGTACCGTGGTATTCCGTAAAAGTCGGAGATATTGCATCCACCTTGGACCGACGTTCAAAACTCGACAGCCCCACAACCAAGATTGCATGTACCGTACCGCATACCGCACCGTGGTATTCCGTAAGAGGCGGAGAGATGGCACTCCATCTCGACCGACTTTCAAAGCTCGATTGCTCCACAAACAAGTGGACGCGGAAAGAGCCCGATACGAAACAATTTCCCCTCGACGAGATGTTTCCAAAACCACCGTTATTGGTGTAGGCACAACCTTGGTTGTGGAAATATCGAGCATTCACATTCTGGAAATTCGGTCAAGGGGGGGTGCCATCTGTCCGTCTCTTACGGAATAACACGGTACGGTTTTCGGTATGGTACAGACAATCTTGATTGTGGAGCGATCGAGCTTTGAAATTCCATCCAGGGGGTGCCATCTCTCCGCCTCTTACGAAAAACCACAATACGGTATACGGCACGGTACAGACAATCTTGGTCGTGGAGTAATCGAGCTTTGAAATTCGGTCTAGGGGGGGGGGTGCCACCTCTCGCCTCTTGCGGAAAGAGTTTCTGTGCTACAACCGTGCTGTTCGTGGTCACCTTACTTCCGGTTTCACGGAATATCGCGGAACAACAAAAGCGAGCGAAAAAGATTTTGGAAATGTGAAGTGACAGCTAATGTTTTGTTGTTCCTGGCCTATGTTTATCTTTTTATTTCCGTCATGGTTTCTTGATAACACGGTTGTTCTCTCTCGACCCCACTCCGAAGGTACCACCTGTGGAAACGAAAATATTGCGTGCACTTACCCGGAAGCAAAAGAACGGTCTTCGTGATGACCACAAGTGGCAAACGGCAAGAACAAAACTCGGATACAGCGCCAATGTGCATAGCGAGCGAAAGAGAAAACAAAACGTTCTTTGTGTGATGACCACAGGTGGCAAATGCCAAGTACAAAACTCGGTTACAGCGCCAATGTGCATGTACGGAAGCATGCGGCAGAACGGGGCACGCCCTGGTCTGCTTAAGGGGGTGTAGAAGACAAGTGTTGGTGTTGACCAATTTTGAAAACAAACGCAAGAGCACCAGAAATTGCACAGAGACACCAGATCAGTAGGAAGGCACCGCGAATAACAGAAATCGTTGATTCTCGCACAGGGCGGCAGTAGAGGCTGCTCAAAACATACATTTAATGCGTCTTCCTCCACACGCCTACTTTGAAATCAAGATAAAATACACCGTTCGAAATTCAAGTCAAAAGAGCCAAAACGGAAGCATGCCGCAGAACGGGGTACACCCGCGTCTGCTAAAGGTGGATGTCAGCTGCTGCTGTATCTTCCTTGAGGAGCTTCTCGACCCAGGGATACGCACTGCTCAGTACGGTACTGGGCCCTGTACAGTGCCCGTCGAAAAGTGCTGGGTGCCTGGTATACCGTACATGACACAAGATAACACAACCCCAGGACCGATCGTCAAATCTCGATTTCCTCACAACAGAAAGACTCACAGCGCCGGAAACGGTGGCGTCGAAGCTGTCTGGTCGAGAGCTTTCCGAAACGGTACCGTTTCGTTAGTTCATCCTCTTCGTCATGGCCTAATCGAGCTTTGAAAATCGGTCACGGGGGTGTGTTATCTTGTGTCACGTGCGGTGGTGCCGGTTTTTCGGCTCGCACTCGTTCAAGGATAAACCAAGTCTTTCAGTACTTTGAATAGTGCCGACGTCCGGTTTACCGTGCCAATGTCCGGTATAGTGCCGGTGAAATCTCTGGACACATACCGGCGCTACACAGGGCCCAGTACTGGACTGCATAGTTCTTGAGGATCTTGCCGAGCCAGGGATACGCACTGCTCTGCATAGGTGTCAACCAACTGTTGCTGTACTGCACCAATCTTCTTGATAATCTTCGCGAGGCAGAGACGCACTGCTCTACTAGTGCTGTACTGTACCTTTATTCAGCATATTCCTGAGCCAGGGATACGCACTACTCTACATAGGTGTCAATCGCTGCTGTACAATACCTTTCTTGAGCATCTTCCTGAGCCAGGGGTCGTGTGCCTCCAGCGCCCTCGCCAGACCTAGCCTGATGGCGCCGGCTTGGCCAGCTTGACCACCTCCCTTTGCCGTGCACCTCACGTGGAAGTTGCCGAGCTTGTTGGTGTATTCAAGGGGCTTAAGAATCTGGCGGCCCAAACATACGCACCAATAGCCGGGAGGGGGGGGTGACGATGCGTACAGGATGAAAACGACATAGACGTTGCCAGCCTTGCACGTGTATTCAAGGGACGTACGCATAGGAATCTGACAGCCCAAACAAAACACATTAGATAGCCGGGGTGAAAACAACCTGGCACTTGCTCAACAAGGACAAAAACGAGGTGAAATGAATTAAGACAGGACAAAAAGCAGCAACTACCGCCCTTCGTTGTGGTGCTACCAAATAATGCACCGAACACAGCTGACCAAGACGAAAGCGGCAGCTTCCACGAAGTGTGGTGCCACTCATCAAGCACCAAGCACGGCTGACTACAACGGAAGCATAAAGCGTGTGGCGCTAATCACGCACAAAACACAGCAGCTCACACTAAGATGAAGCACCGAAAATATTGTGCGACCCAATCAAGCACAAACCACAGCTCACTACAAGACGATGGCGCAGAAGAGTGCGTTGGGAATCAGTCAAAAACACAGTTGACTTACGACGATAGCACAGAAAGTGTGGTGCCACTCATTCAAGCACAAAACACAGCGGACTAAGATGAAAGCGACCGTACACAAGTATGGTGTCATTCAATCAAGCACTGAACACAGTTGACTCAGACGAAACCGCCCAGCAGTTACCTCGTTCTGCAGGTGGTCTCGGGGGAAGTAGTCGATCATGGGCCTCGAGTTGACCACGAATACGCCCCCCTCGCCCTTGGAGAGAGAGATCCACACCCTAGCGGTGCTGGTCTTACGCCTTCCTAGGCCGTAGGAGCGGCCTAAGTTGTCCACCAACGGCTCCCTCGAGGGGGTGAACGTCTGGAGGGCGGAGAAGGTGGTAGCGGTAGCGTTAGACCAGTACTCGATAGGCTTTTTGCTTTGTACTATCCATTGTCGATTTGGGTTATTACGCGGAGAACAGAATAGAACCAAAATAGTGTACTAAATCGCACCCCGCTAACGCTATGATTATTTTACCAATACATTCTACACCCTCTTCTATGGATGGAGATGGATTTGTGTGAAGTTACGAAAAAGGCCTATTGAGTACAGGCCAATGAAACACGGAACGGCACGAGCGGAGCCGCAAACGTCACGAAACCGTCAACGCGCATGCAATCGAGATTGGAGGACTCCTGTCTGCGAGTAAAATGCTTGTGAAAGAAAACACCGTTTTTTATAAGTTGTGAGCGATTTACGGTAGAAGATAACGTCGCAGCACAGTTCACGCGCGAACGAAACGGCACAAGCCAGGCCGAGAAATAATTGAACTGCTACTGGAGAACTGCAGACGCTAAGTGGATGAGGCCCCGAGGCTCGCAAAACCGGACCCTGACCTGAGTGAGGTACCACACAATGTCACATCTTCAAGGTGGCCTCAAGAAGGCCCGGGATACCGACCAGCCGGTTGCGGCGGTCCCGTGGTTGAGGGATCGGTTGCGAGAGTCATGCAAGGATGAAGACAAAGCCAACAACAACCGCATGGAGGAGGAGTTTTGGACCCTCACGAAGGTAATACTGTACGCTTGCCAAGGCGGCTTTGGCAAGCTTCATGGAGGAGGAGCCTTTGACCCTCACGAAAGTAATACTGTGCTTCGGCAAGCCTACTTTGTACCTTCGTGAGGGTCGAGAACTCTTCCTCCATGCGGTTGTAATCGACTTTATTGCCGTCCTCGCACGACTCCAGCAACCTATCCCTCAACCGCAGGACCGCCATAACCGGCTGGTTATTAATGCTTCCATTTTTCCTTGAAGCCACCCTGAAAGTATGACAGTTGTGTCACTTCCTCACTCACGCCAGGGGCTAGCTTCGCTAACCTCAGGGCCTCGTCGACTTCACGCACTGAGTACCCGGCGACTTGCTCACCAAAGGAGCTTCTCTCTCATCTACTTTGCAGAAGGCACGCCGGAAAAGCCCGAAGACTGCATGGAGATACATGTGTCTGATGGAGGAAGATAGTCGCGCCAGGTTCCGGGGACGAGGGTATGGTCCATGGGGTGACAGAGGCGCGGTATGGGGCGCCCAACGAGGTTTCTTTGGGTGAGCGAAGCCGACATTTTGCGGCTTTCGGTCGGTCACCGATGCTTTGAACGATCTTCTCAAAAGTTAGAAGAGACATCGGTATTTTATATTGGTATCCCTTTGGTATCCCTTGCTTGGGGTAGTTGGCTTGTACCCACAGAAGGCGTCCGCGTCAGTTGGACCAGTACGGGCATAAGAAGGTACTGAGCGGACAACAACAACAACAACAACAACAAGTACGACGCGAGCGAGAAATGCTTCTACCCGAGATAGTGTGGGACAAAAGGGTATGGGAGGATGGCAGACACCGACCACGCGTGCAAGGCGGTGCCACTGGCAAGTCCTACACTAAAAGGAACTATTATCATAGCTCGAAACTACTGATGTACATACGCATGCGGTGTACGCGCTGTTGCGAACGACGTTGTATGGTGGCACGAGGGCGTCAAAGGCAGGCAAAGAGCCCACGCGGAGGGAGTGCCACACCTCCCCCAGACCACGCCGTACCCTTAGGTGACGTAAGACATCAGACCCCCTGGATCGAATTTCAGAAGCTCTATTTCTCCACAAGGAACATGAAACATGATCAAACGATCCGTAATGAGAGAGCTCTCGACAAGGCGGTTCCAACGCTACGGTCGCTCGTTCTGCTGTGGAGCAGTCGACCTTGAACAAACCCGGTCCACGTTGTGGTATCTATCGTATGTCACCTTCTGGAAATGGAGTCATGACGTAACAGGTTAAGACCAGGTGCACTCCTGAAACAGCACTTGGGAATAGTGTTGGATATCGATTCAATTAATAGATTCGATACGATATCGCCCGTGAAGTGTTCGATAGCGATATCAAAGCGAGCCGAAGCAAGCCGTTCGTGGCGAGCGCAGCGAGCCCAAGCGCCCCCCCCCGGCTGGTGAGGGGGGAGCGCCGCCGCAGGCAAAAAAAATGGAGTAATTTCGCTTTATTTCCCATCAAAATTCCGGGAAATAGACCTCCGAAACCGGCAGTCAGTGTACAGCCAAATGCTTGAAAACAAGTAAGTGGGTATTAGGCTACATCATTTTCTTTCCCGATTCATTATTCTAACTAATGCTTCAAGAAAGCTCAGCGGTGTCGCACACCGCAACAAAAAAAGCGAGCTTGTTTGTTGCAGAAAAGTGAAGCTCTCACAAAAATGAGCGATAAATGCTAATGGCGCAATAATGAGTGATAAATGGAAAGTAGCTGCAGGAACTTCGTTGAATGCCCGCATTTCACGGCGCGCAGCTGCGGTGTGTTGTCTGTGTGGTGTACAGCTGAGGGGGTTCCGTGGAGTATTTATGGAATTATCGTATCGATATCGACATATCGAAATATCGAAAAGTTCAAATGTTTTCGATAACCGATATCGATACGATAAATCGATCCGATATGTCGAAAAAATCGATGCAATATCCAACACTACTTGAGAACCTCTTGTTTTGCCCAAGGCTCGGTTGTTATTTGATGCTTGTTATTTTCCCTAGAAGGTACCCTGACAGCGACTACTGCTGACACTCACACTCATTGTAGTTTCTAGTGTACAGGCTTCTCGACAGAGCACCCGTTCTTATGGTCACGTTCCTAAACTTATCTTGTTTTGAGCCTAATTTTCGTAACTCCCAAGTTCATAAGTGCGGGGGCTAACTTTACGCATACAGTAGCATACGGCTGTGTTTGGAGCTGTGAAGCAATCGAACGTTGAAAATCGAGGGGGGTGGTATCTTGTGTCGCCTATATGTTGCTATTTACGGTACAGTCGACCCTGCTTTAAGGACGCTCGCGTTATGAAACTCCCCGCTTAAAGGAATAAATTATAATGGGAGTAACCCATTTTTATTACCGCGAAACCCCCTGTGTTGTGTCCTGCGGGCCTGCGGGCCGCTCTTTGCACGAACCACGCACCACAGTGAGTGCACAAGTAGCGACGCACAGACAGCAGAAGTAGCGAGCGGTCTGCTGCTGCAGCTGCAACTGGGCGTTGGTATGGATAGATTCCTCCCATCTACCGGCGGTCCATCTGATGCCGCCAAAAAAAGAAGTCGTGCATAACCTCGTCCCTCACCGAGGGCAAGGTTATCTCTCGTTTGGAGGACGTTCGATCCTACAGTTAAGAAACGTCAAAATCGGTTCGAGCCTCAATCCCTTCTTTTGGGTCGAAGTACCGGCCCAAGTCGTCCATTTTCGTAAATGACACTTCTTCCTTCGGACTGTCGCATCCTCCCGATTCTCCCGTTCCTCATGAGAGGTGGTGGAGAGTGCCATTAAACCCGTACAACAGCGGGGAGCCTATGGTTGTTTGTCCGCGATGTGTGGCAGTACTACAGTACAGCACTCACTGTGAACAGCAGGGGCGCGGGGGGGCGGGGGGAGGGGAGGCCTCTGCCCTCTGCAAACAAAATGCACTTCTGTTGAGCTTGGGAGGGGAGTGGGAGCACCGCAGATTTCTGATGTCATGAGGGTATCGCACCATCATGTTTCTTGTTGGGGCGTTTCTTACGTTGTGGCCGAGATTGAGCAATGTTTCTCAAGCCCATTTTTTTATTTTTCGTACAAACTTGAGCCTTTTTTCTTCACATAATTTTTCTCAACTGCGGGCGCTATCTGTATGTGTACGCGAAGGGAAGGGGTAGCGAGTACCGTGAGACGCAGTGCCTTCTTTTGAAGACCGTTCATTCGTTTACTCTACTCATCATGACACTCAACAGAGCCGTAGAGCCAAGCCGCGGGGGGAGGTTCAGGGAACTCGTCGCGATACGTGGAAGGAAAAGCCATCAGGGTAGCTTTTGGTCTCCGCCGGGACAGTGTTATGTACTGGTGTTCCTCGGTGCGACGCTGAAATACGCTCGTGTTTTTTTGTTTCACAAGAATGAGATAAATATATGTCTACTGGACTTTTTCCTCCTTCTTCCGCTGCCAGCTACGCAGTACATTAGTTGGCCAAGTACAAACTGGTGTACTTTAGTTGTTTTCGGAACGTCCCCGACTATTGTAGATCTCATTTCAAGTTTTGTCAATATGTTCGAGGTCAACAAACGGTTGCCAGTCGTCTCGGCGATGCTGACTTTTCGTACCACCCCCTTCCTTAGCAAAAAACGGGTAGCTTGAAGTATAGCATGCCTCCATTGGTCCCGGGGATGGTGAGCTATCGTCCCCTGAATTTAAATTATGCAACCCCGCTTTAAGGACGCTTTTTTTCGGGGGAAAACATTTGCGTCCTTAAAGCGGGGTTGACTGTATGCATACTTTTGAGACAGCATATAGGCCTACCTTGACAACGGTAGCTTTCTTCTGGGGCCTGAGCTTGCTGATCATGGCGCGGAACTTCATCGCGCGCGCAGACAGCGCCGGGTCCTCCTCCTTTTCCTCCCCTGCCCCCTCGCCAGCAGCCGCCTGAGGTGCAGCAACCGCAACGGCAGAGCCTTTTCCCTTCCCTGACTTGCCCGCGCGATCGGCTCTCTCGCCCGCCCTGGAGATGAGCATCTCCAAGTCCTCACTGAACCGCCCGCTGCTGCTACTGCTGCTGTCTTCTCCCGTTGTGCCAGAGGACATGTGCCTTCGAGAGACTACTAGCCCAGCAGACCCAGCCGGAGCCGGCAACGCTGGGTTCTTGCTGCCGCCACGGGCGACATGACGGCAAGCGGTAGGTCTTGCTGCTGCGCCGCCTGCCTGTGCGGAAGAGCTGTGGAGAGCCGCTTTGCTGCCACCGGCGCGGGAGGCAGCTGCTGCCGTCATCACGCGCTGGATGAACGGGTGCCCCATGACAGTCGTCGCTCTTGCGCGGCTTGCCATCCTGCTGCTGCTCCTTGCCTTTGGCTGCTGCCAAGTGCGGTGTTGTCGCGGCAGACCTTGCGTGCGGTGGTGGTTGCCTTTGCACCTGGTTGTCGAGAGAAGGATTGGCCGCGCAAGTCGCCACCTCACTCCGCCAAGAATGAGATGGTGGCAGAGAGGAAGGACAACCGACCACGCGTCTCCGGGTGCTCCTGCCCGAAGCTTACCGGTGCTCAATGTCACCTGCTAGGGCACAGCAAACGCGCCTGTGGGGTCCCCGCCGTTGGAAGACATATCCCCAGGTGCGTCACCCCTTTCTATGACGTTAGATATCGCACCCCCGTGGACCGGCACACAACAGATACACAGGTGTATCCACGCCCGCCTTGCCGCCGCAGCAGTAGAAAGAGTGGACGGCGGTGTCGAAGGTAGAACCATGTTGCCAAGGTCGTTCCGACGATACGTTATTTTGTTGCTGATTCTTCTTCCACATGACTCATGGAGCCATCAATCGAGCTGGAAGACTAAGACTGCACAAGTTAGTGAAACGGACGGTAGCCTTGAAACATGAAACCGCCGACAACAAGGCTTTTATTTCGGCTTCGACTGGTTCGATAGTCTAGTGTTTCACACGCGCGAGTACAATAAGCCGAGAGCCCCCCACAATCAACCCTCGTAACGTACCGACTGTTTCGTCTGTGGGACGGATCCGCGCCAGACGTTGTCCAACACCGTAGGTCAAAGATATCGTCTCGCGTTTTGCGTAACAGATGTACGTACACTGCTTGCTGCTGCTGTGTACCACGTGCATGCGAGAACCCTTTCTTTGTGTCGGTGTATAGACTATGGAATAGTCTCGACACCGCAGGTAGCGTCAGCGTCAGGAATCGACTCTCTTAGTATTGTGTTCGAGGGAACGCCGTCTTGGTGGTGCTTGGCTCCCATGCAGGATCTACTTTTTAGCCGATAATTCAGGGTTGTCGGTACTATTCTTTTGGGCAGACAGATGGCGCGGCGGTTTGTCAGTTCGGACGGCCGTACTTAATTCGACGGTAAATGACCGTTGATATTATATTTTTCTGAAGATGAGAAAACGAATCCATCTCTATCTGCAGAAAAGAGTCCCAGATAGATTAACAAAGAATTCAGAGCGTCAGCGAAAGCGACCAATATTTTTACGATTTCCCAAGAAGCATGGTAGTCTACACCGACAGCTCCCCGTTGGGTTACAAAAGGCTTCTCGTTTTTCGGCGTACCGCCTTCGGCGGTCCCGGAAACACCAAAATACGGAGGTAAGTTCCGCCAGTACCGGGACCGCCGACCAAGACGACAGAAAGACGTCGGGAAAATCTCCGACCACATCGGACCCTCTGGAAATATTGCCTTGCATGACTCCCTCGCAGGATACTACATGCGTGCGTGCCCGAAGTATTCCCGATAACGCTTGGTCGGGCAACTGTTGTTGGGTATATGCCAACCCAAAATATGGTTGAGCTCGGGACTCCGGTCAGCACAAGTTTTAGCTCGAATAGACTTCCGTCCTCGTACATGTAAGCAGGAGCACAAATAATTATTAGCTCCACGGCAGGCCTTTCCCGGCTTCCAACACATTACAACATGTTGCTGTTCCATTATATATATATGAATATATCCACTTTGGAAGCAAACCTTGTCGCTCTCCCTTCCAAGTACTAACTGTTCTTCGCGTTCGACCAGAGAGGCAGTCAAGAATCAGTATGTCTTCTTTTCTGATGGTGGACGCGTGGCAAGTGGAAAACAAAACACCCAGGTGAAACGCTTTCTTCATGGAACCTTTCGTAGAGCTCATCAAGAAGGCGTTCGTTCATTGAATCGATGTACACTGGTACAATGTATGTATGTAGCACCTCCAATCAAGCGCTTGCAGCAGGCATCAAGTCTTTCCGCAGACCCCTGACGCTTCAAGTGACTGTCCGCAAGCATCGGATAGATGCTTTCTCCAATGTCAGAAGAGTCTCCCACAATTTTGTGGTGCGCAGGGTCGGATTCACAGCAGAAGCATCGTGCCGCCCAACTCTTTTCAAAACGTGTCTTAAAATCTGCTCAGAGCACATTGTACCCACAGAGTGTGCGCAACCACTGTAAGTACTTGTGAGACACACTAATTATCGACGTTGACACGCACGTATTGGTGTATGAACGAACCAAAACTTCAAGACAACCACATGAGTATGAGACAACTGGCTTGAAGATTCCATCGGTACACCCCAATCTCCCCGGCCTTCACAAGGCGACCGGTCTTCCTTGTTCATCTACACAGTAGTAAATACATGCAAATAGTCTATAACGCAAAGACATCAATGTGCGAGCTTCCGTTAGCATGCTGCCGTGGTTCCGCTGCCCAGGGACCAATCTCACACACATTGTCGTCGACCAACCGTCGGACCAACATCTCCCCCATGTTACCCTCCGATGCTACGTCCTGTTTTGGTCAATGGTCCAACCGCTAAGGCATGTAAAAAATTAGTACGCCCCCACCCTCCAAAATATCACCAGACCTCGTCAAGCTTGCAGCGGTTTTGTCGACAAACACACGGCACCACCAACAGCATCGCAACCGCCGTCCAACGGATATATCCAATCCGGCCCAACGGACCGCTATACGCGTCTAAAGGCCGGCGAATGGATCCTGAGTGTCTTCACTCGCGGGCCCACTCGCCCCTTGGCCGTTGTTCGGCCCAACAAAGGCGGCTCCAGCCAACTGCTGCTGCTGTTGGTTCCATTGGGTGGAAGAGCCGGCCCCAAACGCCTGCCCTCCCTGTGGGGGGGGCGCGTAACCCGACTGGGGGTTGCCTGGCGCGTAGGCGTTCTGTAACGGTTGGTATTGCTGCTGCTGCTGAGGTGGCCAAAGTTGCTGCTGCTGCTGCTGCTGCTGTTGCAGCGGCTGCTGCTGCATATGTTGCGGTGGCGGTTGTGCGAAACGTTCCTGAGGTGGAGGTGGTTGCAGTTGTGGCTGAGGATATTGCTGCTGCTGCTGCTGCTGCTGCTGCTGCTGCTGCTGCTGCCACATCTGCTGTCCCGCTTGCGTCCTTTGCTGCATGGCCTCGCTCTGCTGCCGCGCCACCTGCTGGTGACCCAAGTACTGCTGCGAATGTCTCTGCATGCCTTGCTGCCGCCAGCTCAACGCTTCCTGCTGCTGCGGCGGCGGTGGCGGCTGCTGCTGCTGCTGCTGCTGCTGCTGCTGCTGCTGCGGCGGCGGTGGCTGCGGGTCTGGTGCGGGCACCGCCGATGCCTGCTGGCGAGCTACCGGCTGCAGCATGTGCTGACCGTATGCGTGTCCAGGGCGCATCTCCTGCACACACCCCTTGGTCGCATGGCTTTGCGCTTGGCCCGTCACCTGCAAAAAGGAACCGGGAGGCGAGGGATGGGTTACTCCGCAGTTGAGAGAGTGGTGGTGCCGGAATCGGTGGCGTTGGAACCGGCTCGTTGAGATCTGCCACAAAGCATACGATTTGATTTTGGCATCCTCCTCTTCGCCGTGAACAAAATACTCGAGCTTTGGAAATCAGTCCACAGGGTGTGGATTCTTGTGTCACCTATGGTACCAACCATGATCCTCACCGGTCCCGAGTGCTCGAAGATATGTCGCAGGAGACAACCACACCTAGGCCTCCCAAACATGACCCACTTTCCACAGCAACCTCGCTGCAAAGACTTCAACACACGCCCTTCAACTGCGGAATGATCTAGAACAGGTAGAATAGCTGTGACTTGATAGTGTTGTCTTCGCAATACTAAAAACCGTTCCGATCTCTCTATCCAGTACCTCCTTTTGCCCGTGTACTGACTTAGCACTTAACGCGGTCGATTCCCGTGGTCACAGATCAACTCACGCAAATAAGGTGCGCTGAAACATCATGCACATATATTCCAAAAATCGATCCCAAGCACAAAGCTCCTTACCAGTCCTGCGGGTGTAGGTGACGCCCGCTCGAACCTCCCCACGAGCCCCGACACCCCCCCGGTCGACGCGGGTACTCGCGAAATCCCGCCCCCACCGCCTGCGGTGCCGCCCCTCCCGACGCTGGTACGTCCCGCGAAGAGCTGGCTGGGTTTCACGGATGACACGGAGGCCGTTGCGGGTGGGGCGAAAAGCTGGCTCGGTCGAAACGACGACGACGACGACGAAGCTGTTGATACCGGTGGCGGTGGCTGCTTCTGGGACGTCTGCGGTGCCGAGAAGCTCGGCGACGAGGAGAAGCTGGTCGTCGCCGCTGCCGGTGCCACAACTGTTGAATACGCGGCCGTCGCCGGTGCCGCCGCCGGTGCCGGTGCCGAGACTGTTGAGTACGCCGTCGACGCCGGAGGCGGCGGAAGCGGCGGGGTGGGTGGGATGGCGGCTGTTTCAAGGCCAAGAGATGATGGCGCCGCCGAGGGAGCCGGGAGCGGCGGCTGCGGTGGGGGTGGTTGTGCAGCGACCTGGATGGTGTTGTTGGAGTCAGGGACTTGAGAGGAGAACAGGTCTTCCTCCTGTCGAGATTGGATGTGGGGCAGCAACAAGCGCAGCGGCGTAAAATTTTCCTCCGATGTCACTAGGAGAGATGGTAAGTCGTGGAAGTGGGGCAGCGAGCTGGTTGCTGTTGCTGTTGCTGCAGTCAAGGGGTTGAGACCAGAACATGTATTTTTGTCGTTGTCATCGGAACAGGGGAAGCAACACGCGTGGCATGACGATAATTTTGCCTATGATATCTGTAGGAGAGGTGGTAGGGGTGGAAATTGTGCAGTGAACCGATTACTGGAACGGCAGTCAGGGGGTTGAGAGGAGAACACGTGTTTCTGTCATGATTGGAACGGGGGCAGCAACAAGCGTGGAAGGACATAAAAATGGCCTCTGATATCTGTAGGAGAGATGGCAAACGCTGGAAATGTGAACTGGCTGAGTCTAGGGTTGGGAAGGCGAGTATATTTCCTCCTGTAATTTTGCTCTCACTAGTAACCCACCAGAAGAACAAACAAGTAAAAAACCGTCAATAACCGCGGTATATCGAAAACCGCCCTACGGGCAAATGTCCCTGAATAGCAATTCACCGGGACCACCACCACTATAATGGATGATATCCGTGAAAAAACCAAGCCTCCGCGAGCGACGAAGGAAGGTATGTATGTTTTCCTTCGGCACCAGAATGGATACCTTTGAAACGTTGCGCGTCAAAGAAGGCGCGACGAGATAAGCATAGGGAAGCGATGGGCTTCGTCCACCACCTTCTAATAACGAGAAAAAAAGGTCAAGCACGCCGGCAAACGACCTTGGTACGAATGTAAGCGACGGAGTGCATGCCTTGGTCAACTGTGAATATATACCGTTGTTGTCTCCCTATGACTTCCTGGTTTGTAAGACAAACCTCTTGCGGTTGTCCAGCTTGTTTCCCCCGCACCCACCGCAAGTACGCCCAATACATTCCCACTCGAATTGAAAAACGCGCCAATCCACAAAAATGCATTACGTACCCTGCAAGAATAAAAAAGCGTCTCACCTGGCGAGGGACTTCCCATGGTGACGGTGGCGGCGGTGCCAGCGATGTCGGGGAGGAAGTGTAGCCGACCACCGCGGTGGACAAGCCTGAAGACGCCTCTTGCACTGGAAAGCCGTTGTCGTCCAAGGATTGCCGGCCTGAATTGGATGGGCGTTGGAGTGGAGAGCAGGAGGAGTCACAGCAGCAGCAGCAGCAGCAGCAGCAGCAGCAGCAGCAGCAGCAGCAGCGACAACGGGCGGAGATGTCCCCATGAACAATGTACACCTGGAATGGGTTAGGGCTAGCGCTGCTGCCGCTTCCCGAGGCCACAATGTATCCATGGGACGATACCACATTCCACAGTATCTTCCTCACCTTCGAATGGTTTAGGGCTAGCGCCGCGTCCGCTTCCCGGGGCCGCAATGTATCCAGGGAACCGTACCGTATTCCACATCTATCTAACTCACCTAGGAAAGGGTTAGGGCTGGCGCTGCCACCGTTTCCCGGTCCCACGAACTCGTCCGAGAGCAAGTCTTGCACCAGAGGACCTTGGGCGCTGCTGTTGTGGACATACCCACTGCCGTCACGGGATGATCCCACGGAGTCCCCGCGGCCAGGGAGCGGCGGCGGCGGCGGCGGCGGCGGCGGCGTGCCCTCGCCGTTGCTCTGCCGATGGTTCGGGGTTGAGCAAAGGCGTAGGGTTACGCAGCTAGCGCCTACAGTCATCGGCAGTGAAAAAATTCAGTGAGCCTCGAAATTCCTGGTACGATGGAGAAGTCGCGTAACGACACCCTCCTTTACGAACAAGGATGGTGGGAAGGAGAGTCACAGCGGCCCTGCCGTTCCAAGGACGTTAAGAATAAAGGATACTCCCCGTTGTCCCGACGCCGTGTTAAGCCTGGAGCACGCCGTGCCCGGATGCATTGTTGTTGCTGTTGCTTTCAAATTGATCGACGACAACCGCAGCGGTCATCACCACAGCCACGATACCGTATAAGACATGACACAAGATGAAACACCCCCTGGACCGATTCTCACAGCTCCATTACTCCACGACCAAGATCATGCACAAACGAAACTATGCGTTTTCGGAGAGCTCGACCAGACGGCTTCAACGCCGCCGTTTTCGGCGCTGCTGTTGATAGTCGAGCTTTGAAAATCGGTCCAGGGGGTGTGTTATCTTGTGTCATATACGGTAGTGCGGTGTCCGAACATACAACAATGGTTGTTTTTGCGGAATACCGGAATAGAAGCTCTCGACCGGACGGCTTCAACGCCTCAAATTTCGGCGCTGCGACTCATTCTGCTGTTGATAAATCGGTCCTTGGAAATTGGTCCAGGGTGTGATATCTTGTGAAATACGCATACCTCGCCATCGCTGCTCTCTTCGTCGTAGCCGCTTCCCCCACCCGCAGCAGGCAGCGAGTACGTAGCAGCCAGGTCCTGCCACGCGGCACGGCTGGAGGAATCTCCGAGATCTCCGAAGCCCGGTAGCCCTTGAAGCCCGCCATCGCCCTGCGAACCGTACTCTGCAGACGCAAGAAAAAGATATGTAAGGTACGGGAAAAATGATGGGGTTCAAGAACAGATAGCTCTGTGAATGTCACCTCAGATTGTCGTAGGTTGTTGCGTCTGATGACCTGCCGGAGATCTGTCGTCGGGGTGTTGCCACGTTGTAAGTAGCCGGCAACCTATGACCAGAAAAAAGGAAAGCTCGGGAGATCGGGTATTTCTTTGGCTTGGCACCACTCCACTTTGTGCACGAACACTCGGGGAACGTCATTCAACGCAAGTACTGGCTGTTGTCTACCAGTCACTCAACAGTAGGAAGACTGTTGTATCATTCCAACCCGCAAAACAAAACGGCACACGGTCTTTCTGTATACCAGGAGAAGGGAATCGTGATGTCTGGTTGACCTCCTCGGGGTACAATCGTCACAATGTAGAAAGAAATCCAGCTGCTGCCAACTTTGCAGCCGCTGCTGTCTCTAGCACATCACATCAGGACAGCTACCACCCAATGACTCCACTCAAACATTGGCAAGGAGGTAAATCTTCCTTCTCGGGAAGACGCAAAAATATTCCGAGTACATCAAGACCGCGAAGAGATTGCCTGCCGTGCCCGTGGGGCCATCGCGTAGCTATGTAGACTTTTGCTGCCTCCGCAAAACTGTATCATGACGACGTCAGTTTGAGTGACTAACCAAGAACGGCAACAAACAATAACAAGACAAGCAGCGTGCCTTGTACCTGAAAAATGCCTCTAGACGAGCAAAGCAACATCGCGACGAACCATAACCCAAAGGCGAAAACAAATCCCAACTCTCCGGAAACAAGAGCGAAGGGTTGCTGAAGCCTTGCCGTGAGGACGTCGTCTACGAAGCGGGGGGGGGGGGGGGGGGGGGGGGGGGGGG